GGGACGAGTAGCTCTGCGCCGGCTCGGTGGGGAGGGAGCGTAAAGGAACATGATTCTGCCGGGTTGTAAAAGCACGGAAAGGTCGGCACAGGGCAGCACTCTTCGTGTGGCTCGGTGTGGGGCCTTAGCCTGGTCAGATGAAACAGGCTGATGTAGCCACTTTGAGGTTTCCACAGCATCCTTTCCCGATTTTTCACGTCTTTATACCCTCTGATCTGCTAGTGTTGCCTTTCTATTGGTCTGTAGTTTTGCAGTTCACGAAGGAGAACATGCCTCACTGATTCCGTATAGAGATAATTGCACAGCAGCTCATGTTCTAAAAGCCGTAGTCTGAAGTGCTAGCATAGTCTGTTTTCTGTTGTGTGAATGGGAAGGGGCAGTCTTTATGTTAAGTTGCATGAGAAAATCAAGGACTAGGGAAGGTTAGCTTGTAGGTAACGTTTGAAGAAAAAGAAATGAAAGTCTTAAAGAATGCAATGTGAACTTGTGTTTGAGATCTGCAACAATATCGGCAAAGGCTCTCCCCTGTTGATAAGGCGAGTTGAATTCTGGACTAGAATTGGGATAGAAAAGCAGGTCTGTCAGTGCAACACAACCAAATGAAAAAACTGGGTGATAGGTGAATGTGGGGAGGGACAAGAAATTATTACTCCCCCTGTCTCAAACCACTGTATTAGTTGTATCAATGTAACAGGTTTTGCAAAGTTGAACTCTGTAGGTAATGGCTTCTTTGGAATTGTTTGCACAGTGGTTTTTATAGCGTATCTTCTGTGGCTTTTAATTTCTTTGTATTTTCATTTGCCTCACTGTGATCTCCTCATAATAACTTGCCGGGATAAGATGAAGAAATTGGATCTTTGAGGAAGGCGACTCAGGAAGAAATGCTTATTTTTGTTATGTGTCACCTGCACGATCTTTTTTTTTCAGGGATGTCCTTTAGCGTTATGAGGGATGTAAGTTGTACCTCTGCCATACAGCCATCTGAATAAAGGCTATGAAACCTGAACGAGGATCCTCTGGTATTCTTGAAGTGCTGTGGTCCTTACTGTAGCAGAGCAGAACCCTTTTTGGAAGGGTTTAATCGAACCGTTGTCTCCTCCCAAGTGCAGAGTGAGGGCTGTGATTATTTTCAAACGGTAGTTGTCTCCTGGCATTAGGAAGTGAAATGACCAGAATGGGGTATTTATGCCCAATGAGCTATGTTTGCATTCCTTTTCCTGCCTCAGACTGGGAATGTTTTTGTTTTAGTGCTGATGTTCCACAGATAGTTTTGGTTTTGTTTTTTTTTTTTTTACTTTTGGAGAAGGAATTTTTTTGTCTTTCTTTATTTTATTGTGTTTAGGCCTCTGCTTTCCCACCAGAAGTTCTCTCTGCACTGTGCAGTGCACGATTTCTTGCCTCCTCCTTTGCTTTGTTAGATTGATTCATAAAATGTTTGATTGTCTCGGAGAGGTCGGTATAGTTTTTCTTTCATCGTGACTTGTGATAAGTGAAACTATCTTTTTTAACAGAAATGTAGCAGCATCTGGTCTCTCTTTCCTGCCTTAGATCTAGCAGGCTTGCATTAGATATTTGGAATGGGTATCTGTATCCCTGTCCAGGCTCTGATGGTGCCTAGTTGTCTCTGTTGGTGCTTGCACTTAGACTCATCATGTCTAATTGAGAAAGAGATAATGATAATCTTTTTCCTAGTGTTTCCTCCTTGACCCTTGGACTGAAGACGTGGAAGTTCTTGTGGACAAACAGAAAGCGTGAGCCAGTGCCTCCTGGTTCAGTGGTGCAATGATGTATTGGGAGTAACACTTGCCACTGATGATTATATACTTGAGTCACCAGGCAGAGGTTCTGATCGCAGAGAGAAAGGGCTGATGGGATGTTCTGGACTGACCTGATTTGGTGAGCACATGGATCCAGTGGAGGAAGCTTGAGAGAAAAAAGAAACAGTGGGTGTTACTAGTATGAAGTGGTGGGGAGCGATCTGACATTGTTTCTCCATTGAGTCTTTCACTTTTGAAGCTTTTTGAGCTGCCTCGTGTCTGCATTGGGAGGAGAAAGCGACTTGGACTAGTTTTGGATGGGCAAACAGATCTTCGGGTTGTAGTATGTGTGTGCTGGCCAAGTGAGCTTCTGAGGGCCCCTTCCCACCCCCGTGCTGTGCGTCATCTGGGTCTGTCTGTTGCGTGGAGGTGACGGCGTGCGGTCACTAAAACGTGAGCAGATCAAGCATACAGTTGTGTCCTCGTGCTCAGATTGCCTACTTGCTTTCTCTTTTTGCCCCTTATGAGTGGAGGGAATCTTTGCAGGATAGGTTTCATGCAGGGATGCTTTGGGCTCTTTGTCTTAGTCTTGTGTTTCTTGAGAAGGGTTCTCTGTAGAGAACTGGTCCTGGTGTATGGGGGAATCCTCAAAGAAGAGAGGTCCTTCTGAAGTGGAGATTGTAATCTAATAAACCAGGAGAAGATGAAAAAAGGGAACAAGTTGAGTATAGGAGCTGGTGTACTATATATTGAATGTGGATTTTTGTTGTTTTTTTTTTTTTTTATTGTTTCTGTGTTT